CTGTCCCCTGCATGGTCCCCGCTGCCACCGCAGGTGCCACCGCTGCTGCTGACTCTCCTCCTGGGACATCCAGGAGGACTTGCTGGGATGGGGAGGGGGGAATGGGGAAGGGCCAGGCCAGGCCAGTGCCACAGGGAGGGTGTCCCACTGGGCAGGACCCCCAGCCCTCTGGGGCAGTGACACCAGGTGCCAGACAGGGTGTCCCCAGCCCTGTGTCCTGCGCTCGCCTGCTGTCCCCACCAAAAGGACAGAGCCAGCCCTGCTGGCCGGGTGTCCCCATCCCCGTGGGGGGCGGGTGGGGGAAGGCTCCGGATGTCCCTTTAAGGGCTGTGTCCCCCTGCCAGCCGGCAGCAGCTTGAACCTTATCCCAGTGCAGCCACGTGACGAGTTGTTTGTGCAGCGTTCTCAGCCCCTGCCGCCCGCGACGTGGCCGCTGCCAGCCCGGCCCCACGGCCAGGGCCCCCTCCCAAAGCCCCTCGGGGCTGGCGGCGCTTGTTGGGGGGTCCCCAAAGTGTCCCCTCTTGAGCTGCCCCCAGACCTGTCAGTGGGGCTGTGCCCCCCGGCTGCTCCCATCCCTGTGTCCTTGGGGGGAAGGCGCTGGGATCGACTTGGAGGGGGGTCCTACAAGCTCAGGGTGGGGACTTGGGGGGGTGCCCCCCTTTTTGGGGTGCTGAGCCCCCTCTCCCCACATGGGGGCAGCACCTTTGGGGGCCCCTTATGCCCAGGGGTCCCCAGGGTGCCCTGTGTCTTGGGGAGGGGGTCCTGAGTGGGAGGTGACCGACTCCTCCTGCAGGTACGTCCAGAGCCTGCTGGACATCATGGAGTTCCTCGACAGGGACCCCGAGGACCAGGCCACCTTGGGACAGTAAGTTGGGGGTGGCAGCATCCTGGTGACGTCCCTGCGGTGTCACCTCCTCCCAGGCTGGCTCTGGTGAGCACTGACATTGTTCCCGTGTCCTGGCATGTTGCACCGTGTTTTGGACCCAAACTGCCCCTTTGCCTACCCAAAGAGGCAGCTTGAACGTCCTGGAGCCACCGGAATCTGCTCCGGGTTTTCCCTGGTGCTCCCTGCTCCAGCCCTCGGGGAAACCTGGCCTGGAATACAGGCTCCTGCCCGGAATGGGTGTCCCGGCTAGCTCTTTACCTCCCCTTGCTCCCTAGGTTCACGGACGCCCTCGTCACCATCCGCAACCGGCACAACGACGTGGTGCCCACCATGGCACAGGGCGTGATCGAGTACAAGGAGGCCTACGGGGACGACCCCGTGTCCAACCAGAACATCCAGTACTTCCTGGACCGCTTCTACCTGAGCCGCATCTCCATCCGCATGCTCCTCAACCAGCACAGTGAGGCCCTGTCCCAGGGGTGTCCCCAGGGCATCTTCCCACTGCTCCCAGGGTCCCTGCTGGCCCTGGTGCCCCCCAAACCCCGGGCATCCCCCTTGCCCTGCCAGCTCCCGGCGTCCCTGCCCATGATGCTCTCATGTCCTGCCCTTGTCCCCTGTGTCCCCCTCGTCCCCAGCCCCGAGCTGGGGGTCCCCGGGCTGGCCTTGACGCTCGTGTCTCCCCGCAGCTCTGCTCTTCGATGGCAGCACCAACCCCGCGCACCCCAAGCACATCGGCAGCATCGACCCGCACTGCGGCGTGGCCAACGTCGTGAGAGGTCTGTGGGGCGCCAGGGACGGGGGTGATGGGGGTCCAGGATCCTTAATCTTTTCCTTGCCCCGTGGATCTTCCTGGTTGGGAGCCATCTGTGTCATGAGTTGGGTGGGTCTCAGCCCAGCACGGTGCCTGAGGTCCCTCGTGCCTTGAGGTTGCTCCGGAGGAAGCCGGGAGTTTGGTGGATCTCCAGGAAGGCGGGAGATTTGGGTGTCTGCAGAAGGAGGGCCCCAAATCCACCTCCACGCTGCGGGGAGCGGGACGGGGACACGTGTTGACTCCTCCGCTTCTCCCCTGCGCCCCAGACGCCTACAACATGGCCAAGCTCCTGTGTGACAAGTACTACATGGCCTCGCCGGACCTGGAGATCGAGGAGGTGAACGGTGAGGCCGGGGGCGGCCTGGGGACACCCGGGCGGCTCGTTGGGGCTTGGGGAGCCTGATGGCCCCTCTCCTCCCCGCAGCAAACAACTCCAAGCAGCCCATCAGCATCGTCTACGTCCCATCGCACCTCTACCACATGCTCTTTGAGCTGTTCAAGGTAAATCCCCGCATTGCTCTGCAGGACCTGCAGCTGCCCAAGCCCCTTGGGGACAGGCAGGGTGGGAAACTCGGGCGGCTCGTTGGGGCTTGGGGAGCCTGATGGCCCCTCTCCTCCCCGCAGCAAACAACTCCAAGCAGCCCATCAGCATCGTCTATGTCCCATCGCACCTCTACCACATGCTCTTTGAGCTGTTCAAGGTAAATCCCCGCATTGCTCTGCAGGACCTGCAGCTGCCCAAGCCCCTTGGGGACAGGCAGGGTGGGAAAGTGTGGCCAGGGGGCGCAGGGGGGGGCCCCCCGATGGCCACTTGGGTCCCCTTGCCCCGCAGAACGCCATGCGA